CATGACCCAATATAACACAAATTTGAATATAATGCAGTAAAGCAGCGCTCCGGGGGGGTGGAGCTGCGCACTCCGGCGGATCAAAACAAGTTCGATATAACGCGGTTTCACCTATAACGTGGTACGATTTTTTGGCTCCCGAGGACAGCGTTCTATCGAGGTAGAGGTGTAGTTGGGTTTGTCAGCCAGGGGAATTGCAACTGGTAAAAGGTGGGTGTTGTAACACAAGTGAACACTGTCATCTAGAGGAAGTGCCCCTGCCACAAAATCATGTTACACACTTAGGGAATGGAAAGGTCTGCTATCATTTAAACAATACTAATAATGTATCAAGTGTCACCTTGGAAGGGTATAAACATTGTGTAAAGATCTCACAAGGCACATGGTGCAGCAATGTCTCATTAAAGAGTATAAAATTGGGAAATGAAAACTGGCAAACTGTGCCCCACATTATCACTCAAAATGTAACCTAGTCAGGGGGAGATTTGTTTAATAGCATAAAATTAGAGATTCAGCAATCAATGCATTGGAAGGCCTTGCTGAAGTCAGTAGAGGTCATATGGAACACAGCTCAGGAAACAAGCAAGATGTCATGTATCCTCAAATTAAGTGTGGATGAGGTTGGGAAAAGACTTTAGAGCAGCAGAAGCCAATAACTGGTGGGATGACTTAATGTATTCTAACATGACAACTGGAAGACACCACCTGATCCTGCACCTAGTGGTAATGTGTGTGTTTTGTTTGGTAGGATGGTTGTGTGTATATCAATGCATTTTGCGGAAATGGATGTATATTCGAAATGCTCAGCAAAACTTGTTTCTGTTACAGCACGGATTATTGTGTATTCCGGGCCTAACATCACATGCCCATATATGGAACATTAATTGGCAACAGTATCTCATGTCATATAAGGGGATGTGTAGCCATTCTCAATATATGTGAGGCATGGATTTGGGTTGTGTGTAAAGAGGTCACCAATAGCAGCCTAGCCCTGCTGGTTGACATCTTATGGCCCAACTCATGTTTTCCCCAGATGGATGGTAGTGGGCCCACTGCATAAAAGTAAATTGAGTGCTGAAACCATCTCTGGTATTACTTACACAGGTATGCCGTGACAGCTAACACCGAACAATGTAAAGAGAGAGCTAGGAATAATCATCTAACCCATGGTCACCTGGATTTATTTGGTCACGACAGAGGATGACAGCTGGTGATGCTACCGTGATAACTGACATTCTGTATGGAAATAACAGACAAGAGTGGTAATACTCAGATGGCACCTTGCACCACAGAGCCCAGGGATTTTGCAGGAGTGTTAATGCACACTATTAGAGGGCTTTCCCTTTACTCCCTCCCCTGGTTCTTGTCACGCAGACAGAAAGCAGAAGACCAGAAGTCCAAAGTGCAGGCAATGCACTGTTTATTGGGGTTAGTTTCAAGCAAGCATAATCATAGCTCTACATGCCGGCAGAGTCTGTTTCCCAGTGTTCCGTTCCCAGCTCTGATGCCACAGAACATTTACTCCGTGTCCCCCTTCCTAGTTCTGATGCTGCAGAACCTTGCCTGTGTCCCCATTCCCATCTCCCATTTTCCACCTCCTTCTTAGCAGGCCGAAATATACCTGCAGTGCATGCCCTAAAGTCCCACCCCTTACAACTTATGGCCAAGTTCCGTTTTGGAGGGTCATGAGTCTGGGGTCTTCATCCCATCTCTTTTGCATTCCATGGGAGGGGTGAGGAGTGAAGTTATGTTCTGGTCAAAGCCAGGATTTTCTTTGGCTTTTAGTGTTTCTTATGCCTCCCTTCTCTATCCCCACTTGCCCCTCTTAACTGGTTGCTTGACCTTGGCTTGAGAGAGGAGCCAGGCAGCCGTCCAGTGAATGCTCATATATTAAGCAACAGAGAGTCCTGTGGCACCTTTAAGACTAACAGATGTATTGGAGCATAAGCTTTCGTGGGTGAATGCCCACTTCATCCGATGCATGTCATATATTACACTCTCAGCATACCCCATAACACTTTTAACTTAATCTCTTACCTCTTTTCACCTCATCAGCTTGTGGGCAAGTGTAACACACAGTGTCTTTGTTCACAAATATTAGTAAGGATATAAGAGTATCAAAAAGTCAAACCCAAAATTCTATCCCAGGCTAACAAACAGGCCTATATACTAACACACCAAGCAGGGGGTATTTTTCTGGAGACACCCTGCGACAGAAGAAACGGACAACTACATAATAAAGAACTGAAAGAAGTTATGGGATAGTGTTGCATGTAAAATAAGAAAAGAAGGAGCTATGTAATATGTAGAAGGTATATTTCCTGCTTGTCTTGCAAGGAAAGAGAACCACCAGGTAAAAAGCTGAGCCAGCAACCTGATCAGGTAAACAACTGAGTTAGCAAACTAATCTTAGCACTAGGCAGAAAAGGTGGTTATATAATACGGTACACTCTTGCTATAATGAACTCCTGGGGATCCAAGCCATTTATTCTGTATAGCCAGGGGTTCGTTATAGCAAGGTGGGGGTGAGGGTGGGTGTGGGGGGGAACAGAGTGAGTTCCTCTGGCCCTGGGGCCGCGGCAGGGGGCTGTGCTCCTCTGGGCCTGGGGCTGGAGGAAATCTCTGTCCCAGTTGTGGGGCAGGAGGAGCACTCTGCCCTGGCTGCGGCCCCAGGGTCAGAGGGCCTGTCAGCCCACTGCTGCAGCCCCGGGCTGGAGAAGCTGTCAGTCCCTAACCACAGCCCAAAGTTCACTATTGTGAAGGGCATTATAGCAAGGCTCTACTGTATATAATGAATAATGTTGCAACAATGTATTTAAGGCGAGTACCTGAACGTGGGTGTGTGCTTGCATTTACCCCAATGCTGTGCCCTGTTTCGATGGACTGATCACTCACTAATGCAGTGAATAAATAAACATACTTCTTCAGCTCAATAGTCTGTTTGCAAACCTGAGCATTCTGGGTAGCAGGGAAAAGAACCAATCAACACTTAGAAACTCTTATGTCTTCCACTGGCCTTCTAGGTGACTTTAGGCATGTCACGCCACTCTCTGTGCCTCAGTTTACCTATCTGTAAAATTGGGATAATGATTCTGACTTTCAGGATTTCTGTTCAAGCATGATCCCCACTCCAACTTGGAGCAGCCATTACAGGGAAAGTCCTTCTGAAAGTCATAACTCAGGGTTGGAGGAAGCATGCTCAGTCACTCTGTGGGGTGGTGCAAGTGCAGTCTGGTCAGCACGAGAAGCTATGAGAGGCTTGAGCATGCTCAATAAAGATGGAGCCACCAGAGATTTTAGCAGTTAAGCCCTAAGAGGTCTCTAATGAGCATGTGTAAGCTGTGATTTTTCAATGGCTATTTTTAGCCAATTATGGGTCAATTTTTATAGGGATGGCATAAGAGACATCCATGGCACAAAGTCCACTCCTCTTCCAAATATTAATTACCTACTCCAAAGCATGGGCATGCTAGAAGAGCTCAAAGAAAAAGTTTGCTTGTATTTTTTTTTTTAACATAGGCAAAACAATGTATTTTCCCTACCTTTGTTCTCGGAAATGGCTGGACCATTTTGACTGTAATTTTCCAGAACAATTCAGCCTGAGGCAGACATTTGACAAGGGAAATTTCAGCTCAAACAATTAAATTTTGGTAAAGTTATAAACACCTGAAAACAGGGTATAATAATGGGAAGTGCTACCAGTCTGCTCTACAGATCTGCACTGCGGATCAAAGAGAATTTTGCCCTCAGTCCATTTACAAAGCTGAACTGCTCCTGCACAAGCTTGCCTTGTGCATCTGGATGCAAGTTGATGGAGCTGAACCATCAGAAATGCAAGCTTCTGTTACACAGTCTGATGAATCCAAGTTCCTAGTTAGACTAATGAGCACTGTAATAGGAAAAGATTAGGTACAATCCATTTATTTATCAGTATTTTCATCAATAAAATTACATGCTGAAAATAAAACAGAAAAGGCGACAAATGGGAGTGTTATGAAGGCTTTGACCTCGACTAGCGGTACGAAGACAGTTTGTGCAAGGCAGTGGAGAATCAGGCCCAATATGTTTCTGCTGCCGTAAATTGACTGATTATGCTGATTTGCAATACTGTAGCTGAAGATACCTCTACAGAGTGGGCCAAATTCTGCTATTGGGTTTCTGTGGCATTTTTTCTGAGTAATGACCTCAGGATTTATACTTACATTTCCATCACCTCCGACTCAGCATCATGCTGGATTTAAAACATTTCACTCAAAAGTTAAAACAACAACCAAAAAAAAAAAAGCCATGAAAACGGCTTGAATATTTCCATTGACCAGCTTTTTGCAATGTAAAGCAAACTCTCTTAAATTAAGTCTGTTCTTTCCAGGGTCATCTTTTCAAGTAAATCAAGGACATTTCTATTTCAAGACTGTACCCTTAAGGTGCACCATAGAAACATGAAGAAAAGGCTATTTCTATTTTCTCTTTATATACTTTTTCTATTCTGAGAATTAGAGCGGCCTTTGGAAATTACATCATTCATGTCAAGGGTTTTCTAATTTGGATTTAAACACAAAGCAAAAAAAAAGGGGAAATTTGGGTCTGGATACTTACAGCATCTTCCAATGGAACTTGAAGTCATGACCTCCTACTCCTTCCTTCACAACTTTAAAAGTTCAGCAAAGCATTTAAGCATGTGCTTTGATGAACAGGGACGGGCTTACTCACTTAAAATTAAGCATGCGCTTAAACACTCTGATGAGCAGGAATGAGATTATTCACACGTTTAAAATGAAGCAGATGCTTCAGTGCTTTTCTGAACTGGGGGTTAAGTCTGATCTGTGAAACCGCTGCACGCAACACACCTGTTCACCGTAAAGGGAGTTCCACGTGTTGAGCGCTTACAGGGTCAGGCTGCTGCTATTGAGTCTGTCAGCTAAAACCAGGATCATTGTTTCCATGTCTGGCACCCAGGAACGCCACTGATGGTTTGTTTTCTTGCTTTAGTTAGAACTTACCTATCTCTCCCCAGCAGAAAGGGTTGATTCCACCTGTTGTACAGTTGTACACCATCATTGTTTTTGGTCTGGAAAATACATGAGGTGAAAAATGAAAGAAATTTTAAAATGTGGAAAGAAAACAGAAAAAAAAAATCCAGTTATCTGGAGGTGGGGCTTAAAATCATGGACAAGAGAATGGGAGCAAGAAATACTTTAACTAAAACATGGCAACTACGTCTCATTGCACTATTTGAGTTTATGGGACAGCTTTGTAATTTCACGGTGTTCAGTGGAGATAATTGGGTGTAAATGAGAGCAGACTTTATCTCTATATAGTTTAATCCAAGCTAACTAGATAATAAATAATCAAACAAAATACATTCTAAAAATAAAAAATATCTTACTTGTGCATAGGGTCTTTCATCCCCAAATGCTTTAAATCTATACACAACATACAGCACTAATGAAATGCAGTTTCATCTGTGGTTGAGCATGACAACTAAACAGCACAGCAGTGAGATGAGGGCAAATGTTAGCCAAGCACACTAAGGCCTCTTTTTGATTTCAATGGGAGTAGGTGCCTATCTTACTTAAGTGCTTTTGAAAATCCCAATAGATGCCAATCTGTAGGGTGACCATATTTCTCTATGCTGAATATGGGACACCTGGTAAAATTACTCGTATTCAAGCGAGTTCAACAGCAATCAATTAGAACTATGCAGTGCAAATGTTCAAATGAATATCAAGTTGACTGAGCCCCCATTAAAAAGAAATACTGCATAGTTGGATTATTTTTATTTACCTTCTTATCTTTAAGGCTTTAGGGTTCACACAGGGAGGGGTGACATACACACCCCTACCCTCCCCCACACACGGGGAGAGGTGACACATACACACTCCCGTATGCCTCTGTCACACAAGGGGGTGACCGACCAACCTGACCCTCCATGCTTGGCACACTCCACCCTCCATGCCTGGCTGGGCCCCTGGGATGGATCTGCCTCTCCCGGTTCCTGGTGCCGTGTCTTCCACAGGCAGCACATGGGGGGGTGGGATGCAAAGTCACATGCTCCCCCTACCCAGATTATTGCCAGGGTTCACACCAAAATGTGGCCAGCAGCAACCTTTTGGCACTGTGTGGGAGGGAAGGGACAGGAGCTGCTACCAACCACAGGGGAAGTGGAGGAGGGGAAAGGGATGACCTGGCCCGTGTATTTGCAGAGCTCATCTCTTCTTTACTCCCCACCCCTGTGGCTGGAAGCAGCTTGTCCCTTCCTGTCCACACAGTGTTGAAAGACAGCTAACACCTCCAGGCTGCTGCTGGCCACCGACATAACCCAGCCGCCTCCTGTCCCCCCCCACTACAGCGTGGGCAGGAAGGGCTTAAGCCCTAAGGATGCATTGTGCACTGGGGCCCAGGAAACCTGACTACAGGGGCTACAATAAGTGCATATATAACCAATAAATAACAAAGCTTAATTTAACATACATGTGAAAGCCATTAGGTAAGAATACATAAAGCTACACAAAGACTTATAATGAAGCATGAAAGTCAACAGCTCATAAACAAGGACTCTAAACAAGGTTCATCCTATATATAAATGCAAAATACAATTTAAAAAATGAAGATTAATCAAATCTAGCCAGTGAATCTAGGTAGTGTATGCAATCAATAAATAACAGATTTGGCTTGAGATAAATTTTCTATACATCAGTTATTAAACAAACTATGAAAACAATAAAGGAAATGATTAATAAAAGCAGTTTTTTTGTATTTACTGCAAAGTTTCTCTTGATGTATCGTAGCTCATTTGTCCAAGTCAAAGTCAGGGAGACACTATGTGCTTTATAAATCATTTGTTTGAAAGATACCACTTTTGCTAGATCCAAAAATCAGTGGTGATGTGGGGCAATTCTTGCATTTTCCCCAGTTTCCCCAAAATAACGTGTGTCTGTTGATCTTTCATGTTTCATTTACCCAGATGGGGGAGAGAGAATCAAATCCTGGAATGAGGTTGCAAGTTCTGTGATAAAGTCCACATTTCTCTGATGTATTTTAGAATAAGTTTTTCCTGTAGAATGTCACATGATCAGAAATGATAGTAACCTTCTTGATCATTGATTTTCTTATTAAGCCATACAGCAGCACCACTAATAAACAAAGGCATGAAACGCCCCAGAGGCCACTGGGTAGATAACAGAAATGTATGTTAGAAATGCTCAGATCTCCCTTTAGATTTACATGCCACAAAATATCTCATTTCAACACAGAGTGGTTTTGCCAGCCAAGTGAAGTTTGTAATGATAATCTGTAATTGCTTTTGAGTCCCACAGGTGTTAAACAAGGGAACCACAGAAAAACCATAGTTAAATTAGAGAGTAGGGAATTGTTTAATAAATTGCATCCTAGCTCACACTGTCAGCAGTAGATTATTGCATTTAGCAGTGTTATTGTGTAGAAATTACATTGGCGAAGACTATGCTATCGCATATTATAGTTACCATGAGCCTGCTCATGGCTGGCTAGACACAGGTGCACAAGGAGATGAAGAGGGTGCAATGAGGCTTCCTTCCAACTCCTTTTTGCCAGGTAGCAAACACAAGGACAGCTGGATTAGCCCTTTCCTTAGGGGTAGTGAGCGTGGGTAAGCAAGGGAACCGACCTGAGTTATAGTCCAGCTCTGCTACACAGTCTTCGGGCCTGATTCCCAGTTACATTAAGGCCCTTTTGACATCATGCTGGCATCGGTCAGAGGCCTTAAAGTGGGTGTAAATGTAATTTATGCTTGCTTGAAGGCCTCTGACACTGTCCAAGTGGTGTAACAGGGCTTTAGTGTCAATGAGAATCAGGCCAGCTGTGTAGCTGTGGGGATATATCACTTAACTTTTCTGTGCTTCAGTTTTCTCATCTGTAAGATAAATGGCAACATACTAAATGCTCCCGGTGGGCAGTGTATCTCTGCACCTTCCTACTGCTTTGAAGACCTCATCTAGTGCTACACTTCTGCTTAGAATAAACACCAACTTGCTCCATGCCTGGGATTACTCATTTCAATCACCACTGTGAACATACTGGGTAAAGTTTTCAAAAATGTTGAGATAAGTGATGTCGGACCCGAACTCAGGTGCTTTAAAAAAAAATCTCTTACCCATTTTGACAGGTTAGAGGTGAAACCTGACCATTTCCCCACACTGTCCAGCTGGTGTCAGTCACTGTTTAAATACTTTCTATACTTACATTGATTTTTTAAAGTGTGTTCCTTATTTTGTAAAATAAAAAGCACATCAAGTAAGCCGTTTATCTTTATCCTACAACTTGCTGTGCACTATCTAGGTTTTTACATAATGCCCATCACTGTGGCATCTAATCTCCTCCCAAAATTATGAAATGTACATATAAAATAAATCTCCTTCTCTTTGTTCCTTGCAAAGCATTAGCTAATTGTTTTTAATATTTGGTTGTGGTGTCACTGTGGGAAGGCTAGATCAAAAAAGGGGTTCTGCATTGTGCTTTGAAGATACTGAAGTTCATGGTCATCCTGATCTGCCTGGGGAGTGAGTTCCACATTCATAAGCCAGTCTCTGAGAACACGCTACCTTCTGTATTCATGAGTTTCACACTTGAGGTTGACAATTCTCTTGTTCCAGTGGAATATGGTTGTCATAGGGCATTCAAGTCACACAGGGATGAAGTGGTCCCTCATGTAACGGGTAAATTCAACAGAGGGCTCTGAAGAGGAGGACTGAAATCTTACATTTCACCAAGTATTCAACAGGGAACCAGTCAGAAAAGTGGAGTGATGGGCTCTCAGCAGCCATGCATTGCTGGGCACATGGGCTACTGTGATCTGAACCAGCATTTTAAGTTCTTTGGTTTCATATTCAGATACGGAGAATTACAGGAATAAGGCCTAATGGTCACAAATGCAGGAATCACCACAGTTAACTCCAAATCTGACAAGAGGAGGAATAGTTTTCTTGCCAGGAGAAGATGGGAAAAGACTTTTTTTACTGCCATGGCTGGCATCCAGAAGCAGTGAGGAGATCAGGTGAATACTGAAGCAGCAGTGACTTAATCTGAGGACAGATGCCTTCATTGAAGGGTGTTGTTATAGAGGTTAGGAGTTCTTGGAAGTGCTTCCTTCTCCCTTCCCAAGAATCAGCTTCAGAAGGTTTTTCTTCATTTAATTGCTGATTGCAACCAAGGCCTTGGATAGCTGAGAAATGGTGTTGTTTTCAGCTGATGAGAAGGTAATGTAGGGTTGTGTGTTATCCGCTCATTGTTGGCATTGGAGTTTATGCTGATCACAGTCTCCCTTGTGATTTCATATCAATGTTGAACAGAATGGCCGAGAGAATAGATCTTTGAGGAACTCCAAAGGTGTGAGCTCTGCAGCTGAAGGAGCAGAAATCAGTCATGCCTTTCTGGTTGCGATCTGAGAGGAATGACCGAAGTCATCATTGCATGATCCTACTAATCTCTGCTGCATGTCTGAAGCAGGACATCAGATAGACGGTATCATGGGTCAGTAGATGAAGGGCCCTTGTCCATGGCTAAAGGATGTTCATCCATCAGTGCTAATAACACTCTCTCTGTTCCATATTTTGGCTTGAAACATGATTGGGAGGGGTCAAAGATATTGTTAGCACCTAGGAACAGTTGAAGGAGACACCTGGAGAGCTTCTCAATTAGGTTAGATACTGGGTGGTAATTACAGAGGTTGATTATGTCAAGGTGTAGCAAGGTGGTTACCCCACTCCTGCCCTGAAGGGCTTAAAAAAGCCAGGGAGAGGGCTGTGGCAGGGAAAAGCCAGGCTGATTGGGGAAGTAGCCACAGCTGGGCTATGCCCCAATCAGGCCCAGCTGGTCCCTATAAAAGGCTGTGAGCCAGAGGCCCAGGATAACTCTCTCTCTGCCTTTAGAGGAAGAAGGGCCTGGCTGCTAGGGAGCGTACCTGGGTACCTAAGGTGGAGCAGGGCTGGAGAAAGGGCAAGGGAGCCGGGGAGCTCCGGCCTAGGAAAGCTTCAGGCTGCAGGCCTGGCAAGGCCTATTAGGTACTGGATTGCAGGGGGCAGCCCATGGGTA